GACCATAGTTACATTCTATACGCACTAACACCTACTTCGCGGCGTGCTGCCGAGTTATATGTATAGAAAAAGAAATAGCTATACAAGCATTGCCTATGTTCGGCTGTCCAAAGGTTGACATGTTCAAGAAAAGCTTTTAATTTTGCGCCGCCCCCGAAAAGGTTGAAATGTATTTAATATACTACCTAACGAGTAAATAGATTTCATTCATATCTGTTACGTAATTGTATGATTGAATGAAATAGAAATTACTTCATTAGGAAATAGAAATTATTTTATACTTTTTAGTGCATGTCGAAGTCGGTGTATTTTTTTACTGAAAATTATTTTATCGTTGCGCGATTCTTCGTTTCGCGACACAATATGCCAAAATGGCAAGTAGCTTCAAATCTTGTCCGATCTTTGTTAGCTTTATATCATGAAATATAAACTTAGTAAATAGATCTGATCCTTCAAAATGGAGTATTCATTGAAATATCAATTATTGTAAAAGTTATCTCAATTATTTTATTATACTTTTATAATTATTATGCTGTTCATGTTTTTCTGTACGTTATATTTTTACAAATATTTATTAGTATACGTTCTAAAATAATTACATGTTTAGAATGAAATTTATATGTAACATATATTAATTTATGTACAGCTGGTCCTATCCCACTTCGAGTACGCGAAGCTGAAATACCAATCGTGAGTGATGCTGAATGCATACGAAAAGTAAATGCTGTAACTGAAAAGATTTTCATCTTACCAGCAAGTAGTTTTTGTGCTGGCGGTGAACAAGGCAACGATGCATGCCAGGTAACAAACATTTAATATTGATAATATTACAATTATTAATCAAATTTACAAAGAAATATGCATACACTAATCTAATTATAAAGAGTATAATGTAAAATGAAATTGTAACTTTTCTTATTTTAAACAAACTGTATTGTGAATAACTTGTTAGCACCATGTTATTGTACACGATAAACCAGAAAACTCACATATTAGAAATTCTCATTTATCTCCTCTGATTTTCAAAAAGTACTTTAAATCAAAACTTTGAGAGGTGATTTCATCCTTTAAACTAGTGCCTCAGCTGATAAAAAATATGTATTTCTTATGTTTGGATATGTAACAAATATATACACATGTTATGTCAAAATTAATGTCATCAGAATTGCGTTCCAAAAAGTAAATACTTACTATAAATTTTTAAAGTCTGTTAAAAATTTACCAGGTTTTGAACTAGTGTTATCTAGTTCCATATTTATTATGTTAATAAATAAAACAATTAATTAAAATAACAACTGTATAAATTTGAAAAATAAAATTTCAAGGAAAACATAGATTGTTCTATCTACATGTATGTTTCTATCTATGTTCTATCTATGTTGTTGTATCTATGGAATCTACTGCTAAATATATAATCAAAACTTCATATTAATAATAACTTATAAAATTCAAATGTTTAAGGGTGACGGAGGCGGTCCTTTGGTCTGTCAAGATGATGGATTCTACGAATTGGCTGGACTTGTTTCATGGGGCTTTGGTTGTGGAAGATTGGACGTTCCTGGTGTTTATGTCAAAGTTTCGGCATTCATTGGCTGGATTAACCAAATTATCTCCGTAAATAATCTTTAGTTTTTTGTATACTGTTAATAAAAATAAAAGTATTTATTTATTAAGAAAATGTAGTACCTTTACGCGCTTGATGATGTTAATATTTTGTTACGTATGTAGCAACATCAAACAAAGTTGCTTTTGAAGGATAAGTGTACGACAAAATCGTTTAAAGAAATGTTCATTTTAAAATTGTTATAACGTCTAGAGTATAAATGCGTAACGTAAATCTTTATAGCTTTAATAATAAAAAGTAAACAAATTTTGTAATAACACTATAATTTTAAATAATTAATGCAGTAAACTTCTGTTTATTTATTTTAACTAATTTTTTAATTATCATCATATAATCATTCATTATTTTATATAAAAATAACAAATATTCATAAATCATCTAAAATTTGCAATCTTACAAGTTTTTAATAAAATAGTATTCTTTATGTATGCCGTACCTTTAAGGTAACAAATTAGAATTAAAATATATATAGACTTTTTTTTGAACATCATATTGAAGAAATAAGTCACTTTTGTTTTTTACAATTACATCGTTTTCGCAATTATTAAACAAATTTGATTTCTTCACTTATCGAAAAATAACTTTACAATAATATGGAAACGAAAGTTTACTGCACGGCAATTGATAAATAAAAATTTATTACCGTATAAAATTCGGTGGTAAATTATATTAAGATTAATAATTTATAATGTTTATTTCGTTTGGGATAATCGTGCCATCAAGTGCGTCAATTTTAGATAACAAGGATATTTTTTATATGCGAAATGATTTTAATAAAATTATCAAATATTAGATATTTTAATTATTGGGTCTACCGAGAAATTCTATCCGCATCTACATATATTTAAAAGTAACTGATGATATATCCGTTGTAAATATATAAACTACTTTTGGTTGTTGAATTCTTATTGAAAATATTTCTAAAAACATCGTCGTTGATTTTCAGCAATCTTTTTGAATAAGGCTCATTTTCAAAACTTAAATCTCCGCTCCTATATCTTTCAAATCATTGCTAATTCAGAAATTTCGATCTTGCGAACTTTCCTAAGTAAATAACAAAAACTCTACTTTGTAACAATCGTATTGCCCACTCGCAAACTTTATTTGCCGAAACTCGCAAAGATTAGAGTGATGTAAATGGGTCTTATTCACTAACGATAGTTATATTACATGAATTAAGTGAATGACCATTAATTTATACACATATCACAGATCCGTTGAAAAATGGATAACATAATAGTAATTGTTAAAACCTGTTTGTGTCATGCCTGAAATTAAAAAATTCATAAAACGGTCAGAAATTTCCGATAGAACCAATAATAATAAAGGAAATTATTCAGTAAATTACAAAATTATTTGTACAAACATAAACTAATGAAGAAATGTAAAATAGGAATTTATGAAAATATTTTTAACATTTTCCTACTTTAAAATACATAATTAGTAGTTTGATGACTTATGTGTATTTTATGTATGTTAATAGGATAATTAAGAAACAGTGATGTGTTATTAAAAATCAATTTTAAAATACAATCATTTTCTATCTATTAGAAAAAATTGAAATAATAATTGAAATAGTAAAAATAACATATTTCGTTTCATATATTCACAAACAATTGATGAGCAACTTTTTTTTACCAATGACTTTATATGCAAAATACCATTTTCAAAATGACACCATACTTGATATAAAAAATAATCAAATAAATAAGACTGGTTTACATCATTTTTATTTCTTAGGACATGAGGTTATTTTTCTTACATTTTAATGAGTCGATTACGAAGCTGGCAGTAAAAATGTCGTATCATGTCAAGATTTCGAAATATTTTAATCTAAACTACAAAATGAGATTTTTTATTATTTTCCATGACCTATAAAACTTCTAATAATTCTTTTTTAGCATTCGCATTACTACCCTTCTAACGCGTAATCACTGGTCTTGACTCGACATTTTTTTGCCAAAATAAAGAAAATCGAATTTTAATTGGGTAGCGCAAGAGAGTATTGATGTGGAAAAAATTTACGTTTCTGTATATGGCAAACAAAATCGGATCATGACTAGTGACTTTACGTTAGGAACGATGACTATCAAGAGTAATTTATTGTAATGTTAGTATCAATATTAAAAAAAATTGGTTCATGATGACGACAAAGAGTACAGGTGAATAGGGGGTCACACGTGCCTTTAGACCAAATTAATCAATGAAAATTTGGAAAAAATTCAAAAACACATATTCTGCTCTATGCCGTATATGTTTGTGAATTTTTCCAAAATTTTTAAGCGCAAAATGAAATTTTGAGAATTTTAAAAGTTAAAAAATATTTTTTTTTAATAGAAATTATCAAATGACCATCTTTATATTTTTACAGTGGAAGTGCCTTGTCATGATTATTAATCTGTAATTTTTTCAGATTCTTTAAAATGGTGGAAGACAATTGCAAGAATCAAAAACCGATATCTGTTTGTATTATAATCTTAATTTTTCACGACACCATGTTCATATTTTTATAGTTTTAATACCTTATTAAAATTATTAGTATAGAAGTTTATCATATGTAAAAAAATTGCAAATCGATAACATGATCATTTGATAATTTCTATAAAAAAAAAATATTTTTTAACTTTTAAAATTTTTTTAAATTCATTTTGTACTTAAAAATTCTGGAAAATTTACAAACACGTATGCCATAGAGCAGAATATCTCTGATATTTTTTTAAATTTTCCGCACGGCATAACAAAAGATATAAAGCTTAAACTATAAACTGTATTTTGCCCTGTAACTACCTTTCAAGTAGGGATACCGGTTTGATACATGGCAAAGATGATTTTCTTTGCACAATCTCTTAACTGATGTGTTCATTTTTTTATTATAATCTAAAGACACTTTTAACCTCTTATAACCCCTTATGTATCCTTTATTTTTTATCGTTGGTTGAATACTTTCCAAATGTTATTTCTCTTAGAATTTTTATTGCGGCGATTCTTCCCATTTTTGGCAGGTTTTACATTTTTGTAACTTTATCAGCGGCAGACATTTGTATACATAGTTGGTGGTAATAAAAATGTCTAATTAACACTTTGATTGCTATGTATGGATAACACTTAAATGTTCATACGAATCTGTCACCTACATTATTAAGAATTTGTTCACTCATCTAATTGGAAATACTCCTATTTTTTAACTGTTTGGATTTATGAATAATAAATATAAAGATGCATTGTGAAAATATCTGGTAAGATTTATTAAACATAAAAATATTACTTAATTAAATTTTGAGTTGCATCAGGACGGCAGTCAACGTGTTAATTGTCTGTGACTATATTTGTATAATAACTACATACTTTGCACGATTATGTTTTTATTTTTTCAGCGTTAATTTAATTTATTTTTTTGTGTAACCAATGTTATCAAATTTTCAACTCCGCTCCTTTCTGTTATTATAACAAGATGGATTGTTCTAATATGCAATACTTCTTGTCACAAACGCATTTCATGTATTTACAACGTTTTTATAAAAACATATACGTACAATTTAGTAGGAAATATCATGTCCTTTCAATTAGTTTAACAATTAAATTTCAAATATATTAACGGTCTGAAGAATATTTATTATTTTTACTGAGATCCTCATTTCCCATATTTGATTCATGATATCTGAAATATGAAATAATGTGCATCCGTTTAATATAATCGAATTTATTTCTTTCGAATAGAAGATGTAAGATATAAATATACAAGTGATGCGAGTGATAATTTATTTTATTTATAAGAGACAAATGAACAAAATGTGTTATCTTATACAAAATCAAACAAAAAGTATAGCATGTAGATAACAGTTCAATTTAATAAATATTTTCATGAAATTGATATAAATGCATTTGATTTGTACTAATGAATCATAATGATCATAAGAATAATTGCTATAATAATAATGTAGGATTGGAATTAACTCGGATAGATGTTTTAAATAACTTTAATATAATACAGTCTGTCTCGCTATTTTACAATTTCACACGTCGCGCCAAAAATTACTTTCACTCTCTGTTCTCGCTACTCACTTTGTCCTCATGCATCCTTCGCAAATATACTCCTCGTTCACCCGCATTCTCACATACACAGACTCTCAGGTTATCGCACTCAATATCTCTTTCTCACTTTTATTATCATTCGCACTCTCTTTCACTCTCTCTCGGTCATTCACCTGTCGCTTGTTTATGGTATTTTGACAGTTCATCGGTGGCCCTAACGACAGCTGGTATTTGCATTTCTTATTGCCATTGTTTACATCCTAACTGTCGCTGGTTTAAATAGTAACGGCTTATACTCCTACAATAACTTTATTTTATATTTTGACTGTTGTTATTATTATTAATAGTAGTTGTAGTAGTGTTTGTACGATAGATGACACTTACATAACAAAAAACACTTCTTTTGTCATGTCCCTCATATAAGATTGCATAGACTGAGTTTTTCGAAGTATTTCATGTTAGAAAAATTATTGTTGTTTGAATCGTTAGAAATACTGTACTAACGAGACAGAAGTTTGGACTACATTTGAAACATAATTATACAAAAATAAACTGTTGCACTTACCTTTGGGTGTGTACCCAATTAAATTGGGTGTGTGTCCTGTATTATTATTGTTCGCATGCGTACTTGTGGCAGGAGACATGTTTCCATTGGGTTTGAAAACTTCAAAAAGATGTTTAGCAAACGTTTCGGCTATATCATAGTCTTCCCTGGCCCACGTATTATTTTCCTTGCGAATGGGGGGGATGTATTTTTCTGGCCTTTTAAGTTTTTTTGTAATTTTCCACAGTGAATAGTCGTCTTGTGGGTACGGGGACAGACTCTTGCAATTTGTCATTGTTCATTTTGCTAAGCAATTTTTTCAGTTCTTTAGATAGTTTATTTAGTTTTTTCTGATCATCTGGGTGTCTATAGTTTCGCCATCTTTTCCTGATGCTTCGTTTTTCAGCAATTTTT